GCCTCCTCTGGCTGGGTTTCCTGTTTTGCCTCCTCTGGCTGGGTTTCCTGTTTTGTTTCGCATATGCAGCAAGCACCAATGCTGGCTAGTGCTTACGTAGTTTTGAATAAATCTTCATCATCATTCGCATTAGCATCACCAACAGCATCATCACCTGCAGCAACAAAAACGTTATCAACGGAAGCAGCAACATCAGCAAAAACGACAGCGAGAGCAGCAACAGCGGCGCCAGAAGCAAGAAGGCTGTCACCGTCGCCAACAGCAGTGCCAGCAGCACCGCTACCAAGCAGCAGCAGCTACAGCCACCGCCACGACTCAAAACCGACCCGCACGATGACGACGGCTTCGACTCCTTCCAGCGTGAGGGAGCTTATTAATTAATATGATCATTGTCATGAGTGTTACAGTGGCTGCTAGTATGGTAATTCTTAGCTCGTATACATAAGGCCAAGCTCAGCCAAGCTCATCATCTTTTGACTCCGCAAGAGACGACTCCCAGTGCAGTCACAGTAGGCCACGATTCCGGCCGAAGCAGTTCCGCATACAGGGTCCCTTTGCTTGTGGTTTAGCAGCTGGGTGTTCGAGTGACAAATCCGAGTTTGCCGTGATGTGGCAGGTCTTTTGTTTTTGAAGGTTGTTGCAAGCATCGCGATAGGCTCCCAAGTAGTTCCTTTTTGTGCTTTATATTTAGAATCCTATAAGGTAATCCCAAAAAGGAACTACTAAGGAGCCTATGGGCAGCGGAATCCTGATCCTGGCTTACAAGATTGAGTTAGACGCACAACATGGCTCCCAAGCCTGAGCGGTTCTTTCCCTCTACCCATAGGCCCCTAAGTAGTTCATTTTTTATGGGTTTGTATATAGAATAGAATCCTATAAAGGACCTACTTAGGGGCCTATGGGTAAGGTGGTTGAGGTTTTTTTGCGGTTTGTTGACTCCTTCGCATCCGGGTCGGTGGAGACAAGCTGATCATGAAAATCCCTTGGGCTACCTTGCACAACACATGGCTTTGGAGCGTTGCCACTGTTCGGGCCGGGTGCTTAGACGGAAATGTGTGCACTTCGTAGGCAGCGTTTACAGCTCTTCCCGGGTCCGAAGCATCCTTCCTGCATCCAGTTTGCCGGAAGCCCAAAGGGTCCAAGTACCATTAGAGTAGCTACTTAGTAGCTATTTGGGCCCCAAAAGTACATACTATACCAGAACTTGGACCCTTTGGGAAGATTTTAAAGCCTCTTCCTTCCGGGGACCAACGCCGCTGCAGCGTGCCCACTTTCCCGGAATATGTCAGATCTCGCAGTAGTTCGTGCTACTGGGTGCGATGGCACCTTACATTTTCTAAATAAATGTCCGACGGCTGTTCGGCTTGCCGGCATTCTCGAAGAAAGCCTCGAGATCAGCACAAATTGCCCCCAGAATCTTTTGTTGCAGAGCTACTCTACCTTGCAATTTGGACCTTTTGATAACGCCGTTCGTTCATGTGGTACCGAAATTTGAACAGAGCGTGCAGACTTATTCGACTCCAGACGACATGCGGCAAACCTGTAGGGTAGTGGTCCATGGCCATGGCTTGCGATCGTGTAAGGCTCCACTTTCTTAAGGCTTCAGCGGTAGGTTAATTTCCTAGATTGTGTAACCAAGCAATTCCCTAAACCCTAAACACTGAACCCTAAACCCTGGCCCTCAAAAAAAAACCTTAAACCCTAAACCCCAAACCCTAAACCCTAAACCATGGTTTAGGTAGCCGGAGCCCCAGGGGGTTGTTTCCCTCAAGAGATCCGGTGTTGCTTAAACTCAACATATCAGGCACAGGTCAAGCCCAGAGTTGTACGTCTAATGCGGGGCCTTCGTGGCACATACATTCAAGTAATATAGAAGCCTAAATAATTACCAATATAAATCCTTATAGGGTTCCTTACTCGCTTATTATAACTAGACTCTACCGCCAGGAGCCCAAAGCCCAAAACTAACCGAAAGACCCTACAGTATGCCGGAGCCCTAGGCCGGGTTTCTGTTGTCTTCCATGTGCATGTTCCAACATGCCTTTTCCACAGGCTGGAAGTCAATACGGTTGATGATCAACAGTACTGCTGGCGCTGCTGTCATGAGTACGTTTCTGTTTCAGGAATTTCAGGGCCTGATGCACCGAAAAGCCTCCAAGTGCCAGACCACAACAGCGACCGAAGAGTGCATGTTTTTTGGTGGTGGAGCCATCAGAATCAGCATCGCCAGCATACGGTATCAAAGCTAAAGTTGTGAGATTTTCTGACCACTGGCTGCTAGTCTGTCATTGAAGCAGCGGCTAGATTGTGTAGATGTGCAATAGAAATAGGTCCTCAGAGTGCTGGTCATAAAGATCCTACCATGCAGGTCTACATCCGGGTCGGTCAGTTGGCAATCGAGACCAGCACTGTACTAGACAGCGGCAGCTATGGTGGGCTCTTGTTCATCACACAGCTTTTCGAAAGATCCAAACCTCCTCGAACAGGCTCGCGAAAGGCCAGTGAGGGTTCTGCTATAGGGGCCTCCGTACATAATTACCTACTCTGTTTTGGAGGGTCCCCTCTTGTAATCATAGTATAATATACCCCCCCCCCCCCTATCCCTATTCAGGCCCGTGCGAAAGGGTTTAGGATAGGAGGAGTTCATGGCTCGATTTGTTTTTTTTTTCGTGGCTTGTGGGGCCAGTGTCGACGACAAGGCTTACGGGGTTATGGTGGAGGGTTCAATGGTTGGGCTTACTTAAAGGTTCATGGGACTTAATCACCAAAGTGACTACTTAATCACCAAAGTGACTATACTTATACTTACTTGTAACCCCCAGTTAGGGTACTTATAACTATACTTACTAAGTCCCATGAACCTCCTACTAGGGGGTCCGATGGACCAGGCGTTACCTCCGGCAAAGTCTGAGGCCTGGAGATTCGTTTGAGTGCGTTTGTTGGCCACCCTCTTGACTCCAAGGGTTTAGGGTTTAGGGTTTAGGGTCCTAGATTGAGAGAGAGAACCCTAAACCCTAAAACCCTTAACCCTAAACCCTAAACCAGAGCAGAGGAGTACAATCGAAAGTCGAGTGAGACCCTTCTCTTGACCGATTGATGTCCGGTTTAGTAAACCCTAAACCCTAAACCCTAAAAGGGACTTCGGGCCTGTTGGTATTGTTGAGTATTTAGGGTGGGCTGTCGAGAAATACGTGTTCGTGCTCCCGGTGGGTGAGGGATTTTGTCCTGCTGCGGCATACATGACATGCGTATCCTTGTTAGATATACATACTAAAGCCTGAACTCCCGAAACCGCTTCAGCCCATGTCCCGTTCCCAACCTGCCGCAGGGATGGCGGACGCCCGGCCTTTCCAGCAGTAAGGTTTTGTCATCAAAACCCTCAACCCCCAACCCTAAGCCCTATATAAGCCCAAAGCGTCTTCCTGCCACACCAAGACACACCTCAAGGGGCCGACCAGCCTAAGCTCGAAATCAGAACATGCGGGCCGGATATTTGTCAATAGTATTTCTCAGGGTTCGCAAGTATCATCAAACGATATATTCCCCGTGCCGTGTTCCAAACTTTAAAGCCCGTTTGTCCGACTTTCGCTCCGAACTCGAACCCCTAAACATAGGAGGCGGCTGAATGTAGCATTGCCTCCGTGGTGCAAGTCATGTTTCTTCCTTGCGGACTGGGGCTGTCTTTGAGGATGCTCTTATACTA